CAAACAATGTCTGCAGTTACCTCTATCTCTACTCTGATAAAGAAGAAGAAGAAGAAGAAGAAGAAGAACTTCGGAGGAGTAGGAGGAGAAGAGGAGTGGAGAAGAAGAAGAAGGAGGAGAAGAGGAGTGGAGAAGAAGAAGAAGGAGGAGAAGAAGAAGAAGAAGAAGAAGAAAGCTAGGTGCTTTCTGCACTTACCTGGGGATGGCTGAACTTGCAGGTACCGCGGAGCCATCTATGGCGCTGGGCAGGTAAGTCCTCTTCTCTCTCTCTCTCTCTCTCTCTCTCTAACTCCACTACCCTCCTCGGCGCTGGACTCCTCCAGCGCTGTGCCTCATGGCCGATGAGCAGCGCAGCTGCAGTCTCGAAATAGCGCAGCAGGGAGTCTCCAAAATAGCGCAGCAGCCAAGTTCCTGAACCAGCATAACGCTGGATTTCTCCTGGTACCTTCTGTGTCCGAACTGGGCAATGGCCCAGCTTAAGTAGTGCTGGGCCAGGACTGAAAACCCACGGCCTGCGTTCTGGACCGTGCAGATCAAAACTCCGATCCACGGTCCAGATCGCGGGCTTTGAAAACTGGTTCAGTCCTTGGCCTAAAACGGCCTGCCTGGGTCCCTACCGGACGTCCAGGCCCTGTCCAGGATTAATCTTCCTGGTACCTGGCTTCAAACCGGTCCTGTGCGGACGTACCCGGCCTCAACGTCGGCCTGGGTTCGAACAGGTCAAAATCTGTTCGAAAACAAAAGAAAAGGTCCAAACGTTTTTAGGAGCTCAGCCTCTGGGCCTGAATCTGGCCCTGGCCCTAGAAGTGTGTACCTGGCCACAAAACGGACAACAGTACACCCGTTAGAAAAACAGCAGCAAATAAATAAAATAAAGACTAAAAAAATAATCTAAAGCTGGCGTTTTTCTGATGCAGGCCCAAGTAAAAAATGCCATAGGGCCTTCAGGTTGCGGTGACGCGACCTGGTGACCCTATTCCAACCTCGAGTCCCGTGAGGGGCCCGTGTGTAGGCTTTCAGCATGTAACAAAGAAGAAAAAAACAATAAAAGAACGACGAGTCCCCTGGAATCGAACTGTTGCCGTATGTGACCTTGATCACGTTCAGGTTCACCTGTTCAGCTCTCTCTCTCTCTCTGTTTCTCTCTGTCTCTCTGTCTCTCTCTTGCTGGCATGATGTGCCTATATGTCGATCCTCATCTCTCTCTCTCTCTCTCTCTCTCTCTCTCTTGCTGGCATGATGTGCCTATAGTTCGATGCTCATCTCTCTCTCTCTCTCTCTCTCTCTCTCTCTCTCTCTCTCTCTCTCTTG